GGCGGCCATTACTACTGGGCTGGACCCAATTCAAGGTTCCCCTGCCTCCATCTGCCCAGCACTGTGAGGAAGTCCACTCACTGTCCAGCAAGTGCAGCCCTGGGGCCAGTCTGCACAGTGCAGGCTAATCTCTCTGCTGGGGCCCCAAGCAGCTCCGCCATCCAGCACCAAGAAGGGTTGCCAGAGACGAGGCCATGAGAGCCATTGGGATGGGGAAAGAGCAGAGCAAGTGCTGGGCTGGGGTTCCCGCTGCGCCAGGGCTGCTCCTACAGATGGATGGACCTGGGGACGGCAGAGCTCTGTGCCCCTGAGTTCCGGGGAGGCAGGAGGGTGAGCGCGGGGGGATGTCAGTGTCCCAGGACATTATGGGTGTCCCTGAGAGCACCCACTGGACCCTGAGCGCTGTCACGTAGGAGAGGCTGGGACTGTGGTGTGGTAACTGTGTTGGGTACACAGAGGGGCACACATATGCACAGGTATACACACTCATGCACGCATGAACTCCTGCAGAGGTGCACCTGCATGTGACTGTATACACCCACATACAATATGCACCTGTTTGCACACATACACACCGTGTGCACACACACAAGCACCTGGCCTTTCTGCTCTCGAACCTCAGTGAGATCAGGAAAGCAGTGGGAGACGCACGCGTGTCGGGGACACCAAGGAGCGGATTCCTATGTCCTGCAGCCCGTGGAAGCCCTGACCCCCAGGGGACGAGAACACCAGCAGTCACAGCTGCTGGGGAGCGGAGGGGGGCCTTGCACCAGCACATTCACAAACGGTCAAGGGCCCAACTGACCACATTCAGAATATGGGCAGCAGGCAGCGAGTGGGGGCCACACCTCTGTTAGCATCACGCTGGACTTACTAAGTCTATCCACGTAGCCTCACTGGGGGACGGGAGGGGGGCTCCATGCCAGTAGGGGACTAAAGCTGGGGGCTAAAAGGTGGATCTGGCAGGGACCCGCAACGATGCTGCAGCCAACATCCCGTGTGCCAGGCACCCTCACCCCCCATTCTCCTCGAGGCTGGAGGTGCAGTGTGCACAAGAGCAGGGCCAGGGCAGGACTGCGGAACCCCCACAGGGCCAGCACAGACAAGCGCCGCCCTTCTCCGACCCAGGCAGCCCCAGGGCGATGTCCCAGCCTCCTCCTCCTCCGTGGTGACTGCCGTGGAAGGACTGAGGAGGGTCCGAGGAGGACGAGCAGAACGGAGCGGCCGGCAGCCAGGCGCATGGCAGCCGGGCACACTGCCCCAGCTGGGACGAAGGGCTGGCCAGCAGACAGGCCTGGGGAGGGGGAGCACAGGCCTGTGCGTCCCCCCACCTGAGGGTCCTCAGGCGTGGGCCCTCTGTCCCCACAGCAGGAGGTCCCAGGACAGTGCTCGTGACTGTGGCCACTGACGGCCGCTCCCAGGGCTGCCCCGGGGCAGCGTTGTGGGGGACACAAGCCCCCGGAGTCGACACTATGCACCTGCTTGCACAAGGGCAGGGCTGAGAAGTGGGGGGCCAATGCAGATGGGGTGGCCGAGTCTCTAGAAGCCGGTGGGGGGGGGGGGTGCCCGGGGCACCTACCTGCCACCTCCTTGGTGGACTGCAGGCTGGCAGCAGCCTCGAGGTCCGCAGGGACAGCACCGCCCTGCTCCAGGGCACGCACCAGCTCACGCAGCCGCTCACACTCGTCCTGCAGCCTCGCCTGATCCCCACGGAGCTGCTGCCGGGCCACACTGGCCGGGTTCATGCGCAGGTGAAGCACCTTGGTCCGGCTCTGGTCATAGTCGCCCTGCAGGGACAGCACCGTCACTCAAGGTGGTCAGCACACACTGGCACTGTGCACTTGGGTCCCCTGGGCCCACAGCGTGCTAAACTTCGGGTCTGTTGTCAGTGGGGGCAGGGCCATCCCAAGGGTTCAGGGGCCTCATCAACGGACCTCTACAAGACCCACGGCCCAACTGTAGCAACTGGACATCCCCTCACAGAAGGGGCACAAGGAAGGGACGAGCCAGCCAGGGTGCAGCACAGCACCGATGAAACCAACATTCCTCTAGTTCTTTAAGGCTTCCTCCCCACTATCATGACCCCAGTTCTACCTTACAAATCCAGTTAGACCGGAGCACGTACACTGGCACAGATAAGGGCTCTCGACACACGGAATCAGGGCAGATAAACCCTCAGGAGCAGAAATGGGAGTAGCAACACCATGAGGGGAAGGGGAAGGTGGGGAAGAAGGGATAAAGGGGGCAACGGATCACAATGATTGACGTACAACACATCCCCTCCCAGGGCTACGAGCAACTGAACCATGGGTGAAGGGAGACAGCAGACAGTGTAAGACATGCATAGTAATTTATAAATTATCAAGGGTTCATGAGGGTGGGTGAGGGGGTGAGGGAAAAAAGAGGAGCTGATACCAAGGGCTTAAGTAAAAAGAATAGACAATGATGACGGCAGCATGTGTGCAAATGTGACTGATACCATAAGAACTGTAAGAGCCCCAATAAAATGATTTTAAAATGACCTGTACAAACCCATGGCTCTCGAGCCCAGTCCCACTGCCAGTGGCCCCAGAGAGGCATCAGTTGCTCTGAGAGCAGCCTCCAGTGAACCCACAAACAGAGCCTGTCCACCATGGACTCCTCTGCTTCGACCACCATGGGGGCCCTTTCCTTGCTCACTCGCTCTCTCTCTCTACACACACACACACACACACACACACACACACACCGCACAAGTGCATGCATGACCCCGTGACCCCAAAGCACTCAAGTCGGGTCCCAGCCCACACAGGACACTGCTCAGAGCCGGTGGGGAAAGCACAAGGGCTCACACACACATGCACACTCTCACACTCACGCACGCAGAGACGAGCCGTGGCTCACAGGGAGGTACTGCTGGTTCACAGCCCAGCCCTCCCATTGGTGCACTCTTCTGCGGGCCAGGCCCTGCTCCCCACTACTGACACTTTGCCCAGGCCCCTGACTTTACCCCGAAGCCCCCCACCCCTGCCCCTGCCAACAGAGCCATCTGACAACAGGTCGGGGGGTCCTTCCCTCTTAAGGGTCCTCCAAATGGAGAAGTGAAAGGGCTTAAAAGCGGGGTGCTGGCTTGGGGGCTGACCCCCGGGAACCTGATCCTTCAGTCTGGAGGTAGCAGGTCCCGGGGTTGGCCAATCACAGGACAGAGTGACCGTCTGGGGGCTTTCTTGCTCTGGGGGTGGGGGTGGAGCCTCAGGCCCAGAGGAGCCTCAGCTGTCACCTGGCGAGGGAATGCAGCCAAACAAGGGTGGAGACGCCCCTGCAGGTCTGTCTCCCTGTAGTGACCGCTCAGACCCCAACACCCGCCCGCCAGGCCCAGGTCAGACAGGGTGCTGTGGAAGGAGAGCTGGCAGTGCCCACCCAGCTCGGGAGGTGGGGGGCACATCAAGGGGCAGGAGGTGGGTGTGCAGCACACAGAGGGATCAGTAGGGGCAAGCAAGAGATGCGGGGCTCCAGGAAACTCACTGACAAGCTGGCTGAGGCCACGGGCAGGCCACGGACCGGTGAGGACAAGAGCTGGCCGAGGCCATGGGGCAGGTGGGACATGGCAGTGCACTGTCTCATCCACGGCCCATCGCTCCCCCCAGCCTCCAGGGGCCAGCACAGAGCCAGCTCCACACTGGGTCCTGCTAGAGCACAAGGGGGCGTCCGCTCAGGACGGGCTGCGAGGCCCGCGGGGCCGGGCAGCTTTTGGGCAGGGTGCAGCCCCTGCCTGAACAGGACCTCTTTCTCTGGACCTCGATGTCACACTTAAGAAGAGAGGGCGGTGATACACGGAGGCCCCCTTTCTTTCCCACCCCCGCCCCAGACAGAGAGGAGTCCCGGGAGGGCTGTGCTGCAGAGGCAACCCCCAACCCATCCCTGAGGCCCCTGAAGGCCCTGTCCTTCTGCCCCAGGGCCCAGCCACCCCAAGGTGCGGGCAGCAGGAGGGGTGGGGCTGGCGGCACCGGCACCCTGTGCCTGAGGTGCATACTAAGAGACCCCGAGGGCCCGAGGCAGCAACGCAAGGAGAATTAAAAATCACAGTTAAATAACCGCCAATCCTCATGCATATTTATAGATCACCCGGCCTCGAAAGGAAATCAGCAGCTCTCCTGGCTGAGGCAGCCGGTGCAGGGAGGGACTGGGGCTGAGGGGTGCGGGCAGGGCTGGCTGGCAGAGCCCCAAGTTCTGGCTGCTCCAGGAAGGGCGGGAGAAGTGGGGACCGGCCCGCCTGGTCCTGCTGTCGGCCCAGCACCACAGAGCGGCCTCAGGTTTGCGTCAGGGATGGCCACAGAGACCAGTGAGGGCAAGGGGACCCTGAGCATGACTGTCCCAGGAACCCTCCCTGCTGCCCACCACTTGGGGAGCCCCTTGGCCAGGGAGCTGCACAGCCCATCCTTCTCCGGACCAGCCCCAGCCCTCGCCCTTCTCTGGGGTCCCCGCCCTCCCTCCAGGACAGCCTGCTGCTTCCCCCATTTGGCAGTGAAGCCAAGCAGGACCTCTGAGTGTTGGTTAAGTGAATGGCCCCCAGGAGGACAGGGGCCACTACCTGGGCTGCATGGTCACCAGCATCTCCATTGCCTCCAGGAGCATCCTCTGTGGGGCAGGCAGTGCCAAGTGCCACGTGCCAGGGAGTGTCCTCTGCAGGAGGCACAGAGCCCAAGCCAAGAACTCACGGCCACCCTGCAGAGCAGAGAGGGCAACCCCCGCGGCTTTCCGAGGCCACCAGTCTTTATGGAAGCTGTCCTGACGCTCTCCGGAGGAGCAGATGGCGGTTTCAAACGCCGACCTTGCAGTGAGTAGCACAACCCAGAGCAGGGAGCCCAGGAACTGTGTAACCCTCCCCCACTCCCTGGCACATGTGTGGATGAGACAGACCCGAGCACCCACACCCTGGGCACACAGCCCATGAGCCTCAGACCTGAGACCCAAGGGGCTCAGCCTGCGGCAGTGACGGGGATGCTATGGTGACCCCCTTCCCCCAGGCACATGGCCCTTCAGCCTGGGCCTCTGGGACGGGCACCCAGGAGGCGACGCCGGGGGAGGAGAGGGGCTTAATATTCTTGGCTTGTCACTTGCCTCATAAAAAAATCAAGTGAAATCAGTGCCCGTGGAGGTTCCAGCGCCCAAGAGCACATCACTCCACGGCTTTTTTAAGCCCCAACGTTAATAAACATGAGCAGCCTGGACGCCCCTCCCCCTCCTGCTCCCCCCAGCGCCTCCCTCCCTTCCAGGGAGGGTCTCCTCTTCCTGGGGCACATCTGAGGCCCCCGAGTGGAGGGGGCGGGAGGGAGGGTGGCCTCTCTCTGCTGAGATCTCTCCCTGCTTCTGCAACCCCGGTCACCCCCTGGGATGACCACCCTTCCCACTCCCTGCCCCACAGCCCTGGTCCTCACACCTCCCTCCCTGCTTCCTGCCTCAGTCCCTGTGCTGCGCTCCCCACCTGCTCCCCAGCTCTGGGTCCGTCTCTGCAGGGCCTCAGCACACACAGCAGGCTGCAGACAGAAGTGAGTTCAGCCTTGGCAGCAAACCACCCCCCACTGGGGGTGGGCTGAAGAAAAGATCCCGTTTACATTAGAAACCAACCACTGGGTAGCTGGGGCTCTGGAAGGGTCCTGAGGGGCGAGACACTCCCCAACACGCCTCGTCTCCCCACACTGGGCACAAAAGTCCCTGCCCTCCCCGGGGGCCACCGGCAGGGGTGGACAATGGAGGGACTGCAGGCAGCAGGGGCGTCTCACACCTGCAGCTCTGGGTGCTCCAGGGTCGGGGGGTGGCTGTCTTTAAAAGCAGGTCGGACACCCCTCGTACGATGGTGCCTTTGAGTCATGGTGCTGGTGGGGCATTCTGAGGACCGTGGACGCCAGAACAAACGTATGTGTCTGGGGGAAGGACAGGCAGATTTAGATGCAGGACAGAGAGACTTCAGGAGGGAGACGTCCGTGCTGGGTCACATGGGGGCAGTGGAGGAGAGGAAGACCCTTGATGAGACGGTGGACACAGTGGCTGCAGCCTGGGCTCAGACCTCAACGATCGTGGGGCCACGTGGCGCAGGCCGGGTGGGTCTCGTTCTTTAGTGCACAGGTGGGGTAGCCCTAAAGTGCTCGGCTGCCCCGAGGGTCAAACCAGGGGAGAAGGATCTGGCCCCCAGCCCTGGAAATGGGGACTGACTACATGGCACCCTGAGCAGCACCCTCATGGAAATAAGGGGGAAATCCAGACACAAAACCAGAGGGAATGGGGGGTGGGGGGGAGAATCCCTGCGTCACCTTGATCTGAGAACAGCCAACACATGAACTAGAAAAAGTGAGACAACTCAGTCATGTGAAAGTCAAGAACAAAAAACTGCTTTGTACACACACACACACACACACACAAACACACACACACACACACACACACACACCCAAGCTAGCAGACAAGACAAACTGGGAACCTGAACTTGTGACGGCTACAAAACGAGCTCAGGTCCTTCTACATCAAGAGCTCCGTGGAATTAATAAGCAGTGGACAAGGGACTGCCCGCTGAGCGCCGGGCAGTGGCCAGGGTGAGCATGCACGTTGGAAAAGAGACCCCTGGGGGGTGAAAACCAGAGATGGCGCTGTCCTCCCAGGCTGGAGAACGCCCTACTGTGCACCATGGCTGCCGTGTATCATGGGTGCTGTGCATTGTGGGTGCCGTGCACCATGGGTGCTGTGAACCGTGAGTGCTGTGCATTGTGAGTGCTGTGCACCATGGGTGCCATGTACTGTGGGTGCTGTGTATTGTGGGTGCTATACCATGAGTGCTGTGCATTGTGGGTGTTGTGCACCATGGGTGCCGTGTACCATGAGTGCTGTGCATTGTGGGTGCTGTGTACTGTGGGTGCTATACCATGAGTGCTGTGCATTGTGGGTGCTGTGCATTGTGGGTGCTGTATACCGCAGGTGATGTGCACTGTGGGTGCCATGCAGGGTGCAGAGAGGAGGAGAGCCTCCCCTCCCCTCTGGAAATGGATCTTCCCAGACCCGAGTGCTGTGTGGACACAGGGCCAGCCTTGAGGTCAAAGGGGCAGTGGGGACAGAGCTGTCTTTGGTGTCAAAAGGGCAAGAAGGCAGAAGGCGTGGCAGCTGCTGCCTGAGACCCACACTGGTATGCCAGTGAGCCATCTGCTCCTGCCTCACACCCAGCCCCTCACCCCTCGCCAGGATCTGACCTCGGAGCTCCCTGTCCAGATGAGGAGATGGGCTCCAGGACCTCTCAATGGCCCACAGATAGACACTGGGCTCTGGCACATCCGGCAGGGCTCAGAAGCCCGAGGTAAATGTGCCAGGCAGATCACCCCGAGTCTGGGGGCATGCTGGAACGGGCTGAGTCGGGGTGAAAAGTAGAGTGGCCGGACAGCTCCCAGTCCCTGTCCAAGCATCCTCGGTGGGCATTGGGCACTGGGTGTTACGTCAGGGCCCAGGACCCAAGCTCCATGACACCACGGGAGGAGACATGGCTTCGGGGAACGACGCCTCCACAGACCACCCCCCCAGGGCTCGGCCCCCTGGCCCTGGACAGGTTCTCAGGAAAGCCCCGTCGCAGCAGAGGTGGGAGACACACGCTGTGGTGGGGGAGGGACCACAATTCGAGCTGTCTGGGCCGCTGCTCAGTGAGGTGCTTGCCGGTACCACGTCCGTGCCTGGGCACATCTTTGTACTGCCTGCTATGTGTTACCCTACTGGGTGCACCAGCCTGCTGACGAGCTCTAGGCCTCGCACGGTCACTTGTGCTCAGTGCCCACAGGTGAGCTTGGAGGGACCGGGGTGATGGGGCAAGCTGTGCCCATGCTGACTACCCTCCAGGCCAGCTCTTGCAGCGCCCGAGGGCACTGTAGGGACACAGTGAGGTGCTCTCATGTACGGGAGCCCCAGGGACGGGCCCAGGACGGCTGGTCAGCAGTGAGAGGTCGAGAGCAGAACCAGAGAGGCAGGGTCGCTGGGCACCCAGGGACAGTGTGCATCAGGCCTGGCCAGCGGGGTCCCTGGTTCCTCTGAATGCTTTGACCATGTCCTGGGGGTGGTACTCAAGGCAGGGGTGGGCAGTGTGCGGAAATTGGGAGGGGGCAGGTAGGGGCTCCTGCCTGCCACCCCCACCAAGCATCTAAGATTAGCTGGCCACCCGCCTGGTGACGCAGGGCTGGTGCAGGGACAGTCTCCACGGGCACTGTGCCTTCCGCTCAGAGGGAACCCGGCAATTTTCTACCCACTCCTTTTCCAAAACAGACATGCTGGCAGGAAATGTATGTGGGCTGTTCCCTCTGGCCCGCCCCGGGGCTCCACGACAGCGCCACACTTCGGCCTGACTCCGCCCTGCAGACGGTGGATGGGATACGATGTCCGGCTGAAGCTGCTCATCGACCAGGCCCCCAGCAGTGTGGTGTGGGGGGTAGTTCACCACGAGCCGGGGCGGGGTGTGTGTGTGTGTGTGTGTGTGTGTGTGGATTCACAGATGGACTCAAGAGCGAACAGACGCACCTCGGGCAGCCTTCTTGGGCACCTGGATGGCCCCGTACTGGTGAGATGCCTGTTCCCTGTCCCCACAGTGAAGCCCTGGGCATGAGGGCGGGGATGGGGACTCAGACATATAGCCGTCGTCCCCCGACTCTTCTCCTCCCTTGTCACGTCCCATGTGGCCTTTCAGAAACACGATCACAGGACACCATTGCATACCTTGGGTGAGGTCAGCAGTGCCAGCATCTGCACACGGGGCCACGGGCTGGGCCCTGGCAACAGACAGTGTCCCCTCACTCGCAGGTAGGTACAGCCAGTGCCCTCACAGCCTCAGGGCTTGGCTACTTTGCACCCTGTGGCCATCTGCTGGGACACCACGCTGGGACTGGACATGAGAGATGAGCTAAGAGGGGCTGGAGGGACGAAGGGCCATGGTGGGCGGGTGTGGGGTCTCCGTAGCCCACCAGGCCATGGCCCAGAGGTACCTGGGAGAGGCTGGGGGAGGTGATAAAACCAAAGAAAAGAAACCAGCCCAGTCACTGTGTTGATGCCACTCAGGCTGGCCCGGGCAGAACAGAGGGGTCCAAGGGGCATCCGGGCCGCTCGACCCCAATGTGCACTGCAGGGGCTCTCAGACGAGCTGCCAGGTGTGGCCAACCTAAGTGTCCACCCACAGACGGTGGACAAACAACACGGCCTACCTAACCCAGTATCCACCCACACATGGAGGACAAACGGGACGTGGTCCAGCCACACAGTGGAGTCCCACGCAGCCATCCTAAGGAATAGAACCCTGCTGGACCCTAGGCGCTGGGCGGGCCTTGGAGACATGATGCCGGGAGACACACCAGCCACCACAGGGGACACGGAGACTCCCGCCAGCCTCTCTGAGTGTAGAGGGTGGGTCAAAGGCCCCCAGGGAGAGCAGTGTGGCTCTGCGGGTGGTGGGAGCAGCGTTTGGACATGGACAGCAGGGCTCGGGATACAGGTTTCCCCGTGCGAACGTTAAAAATGGAAATCTCTCAACGAAACAATTCGCTCGGTCCCCGCGTGAGCGGGCCGTGCACTGGTTGCACTGATGCATGGGCAGGCCCACTGGTCACCCCTCAGCAGGCCTGTGCCTAGGGGACCGGTGTCCCTGGGCCCACCCAGCACCGAGCCACGTCGCCTCGCCAGCCAGCTGTGAACTAATTACACCAAGTTCTAGCCGAGCTCCCTCTCCAAGCATATGTTCCCAATTAAGTCAAACTGCAGCTGATTTTAATCAATCTTCCTTGAAGCGGCCCAACTTGAAGCTTCTCCTTCTCCAGGGCGGGGGCGGGGAGCAACGGGAGGGGTGGGGGCAGAGGGGGAAGGAGGGGAGGGCAGGGCAGTGCTATACCGGTGCTCGGAGAAGATCCGCCCCTCCCACGGCTCCCACTCTTGGAGTGTCAGATCCCAGCAGGAGACCCGAAGTCAGCCCCCAAAGGCACAGCATGGTCACTCCAACTTTGTTAGAGATGAACTGAGGCTCAGGGAGAAACGTCGGGGCCCCTGAGACCAGGATCCCAGGTGGGGACATGGTGTGCTGGCCCCTCCCGACCAGTCACCCCCCCACGGCAGATCTCACAGGCCCCACAGGCCCTCCCACGAAGGACATGGCCTCTGTGGGCGACTGGAGTGGTCTTGACCTACAAACCACAGCCCCCTGCCCACAGAGCGTATGCTGCAGTCTGCCAGTCCCTAACCAGTCCCCGCCCCAAAGTGTGAACACCATAAGGGGAGAGCCCCACCTCCAGGTACTAGGTAGTGCAGTGCTGATGGAAGGGGCAATCCAGTACCCCTCCCCTGGGAGCAGAGGTCATTGCCCACCCCACAGGAGCCCCCATCTGACACCCAGAAGAGCATGCCCCTCAGGGACGGGCCGCAGAGCCCACAGGCCCTTACCACTTGGTCCATGGCCTCCACGCCCACAAAGCGGAGGCCCTGGCGGACAGGACATGCTGCCAGCAGGTGTGGGGGGCTGTGGCCTGTTCTCTGAGCGGCGTCAGCACCCCCATGGGACAGGGCCTGCCTCTCACCCCTCCCTCAGGCCAGCAGCCCAATTACAGCATGAGCTGACAGGCGCCCCCGCACCCACCACTTTATCAAAGATGCCACTTCTCTGGGCTCCAGGAATAGGTAATAAAAAAGGGATTCGAATTGCCACTAATAGGTGTCAAGATAAAATCAATGTCCTGTCTCAGGCCTGGGGGCTTCCTGCTCAGGATCAATTCACATTGGGGAGCGGAGGAAGCCACGGGGTGCTGCTGACGGCACCACTGGGGACCGGCCTGGACAGGCGGCAGAGCCAGGGGGCTCCACCCTCATATGCCAGCCAGCAGCAGGGAGTGGCCATCCATGGGCCAGGGATGCCCAGGGATAGTGGGGCACCTCAGGGTGTACTTCCCTGGAGGAAAAGCACAGGCGAGGTGTTGCCCCCACCTATGAAGCCCCAGGCCACACGTGCTGCATCAGGTAAGGGGGTCCCAACATTGTACCCCAGACCACACATTCGGTACAGGTGAGGTGAGTCCCTCCACTATACCCCAGACCACACACACTGTACAAGTAAGGGGGTCCCCCCATTATACCCCAGACTACACACATTGTACAGGTAAGGGGATCTCCACATTGTATCCCAGACTACACACATTGTACAGTTAAGGGGGCTCCTACATTGTATCCCAGACCACACACATTGTGCAGGTAAGGGGGGTCCCTACATTGTACCCAGGCCACATGTGCTGCACAGGTTAGGGGAGGTGAGGGTCCCCCCACACCCACCTGCAGGATCAGCTTCTCCAGCTGCACCTCCAGCTTGGTCTTGTCTTCCTCCAGCCGCCTCCGCTCTGCCTCCAGCTCCTCCACTTTCAATCTGCATGGGAGGAGGGCCGTGGGTTGGCTGTGTCCCCTCAAACACTTGCCGCACCCCCAATCCCGAGTGTGGGGTCTTCAGCCCACTTGACAGTGGGTGGTCTTTGCTGTTAGGGAGACAGCATGGGCGGGGGCGTCTCATGTCTGTCAAGTGAGTGAGCAAGCACTAGGCAGACAGGTGCCACGTGAGGATGGCCACAGGAGCACTCCCTGGAGTCCCAGGGCCCAAGTGGCAGCACCCACAGACTCTGGGATTCCGTGTCCCCAAGAATGTCCTCTCTGGGCAGCTGCCCCCAAAGACCAGCTAGGCGGCACATGGAACCTGTGTCCGATAGCCCCAAACCCTCTACCTGGGGGCTCCAAATGTCCGCGAAAGATGCCCATCTTCCTCCCATCTTAGCAGACCCTCGTGGGACAGCCAGCGAGCGCTGGTGGTGCAGAGGTCATGAGCTGGGCTGCTGACTGCAGGGTCTGCAGTTTGAAACACCAGCCAGCTCCACCACAGACCAGCAGGGCTTTCCGCTCCCATGAAGACTCACAGGCTCAGAAATCCCCGGGGCAGTGCCACCTGTCCTGTGGGTCGGCAGTGCCACCCTGAGTGGTTTGAGGAGGACACTGGCGCCCCTCTGCAGGGAATGGATGAGCAGAAGGAGGCAAAAGCCACGGCAGGTCTGGGAGGACCTGGCTTGTCTACACCTGGCCCTGCCAGGGCTCAGGCCTGTGCCCAAAGAGCCGCCAGTCTCGAAGGCAGAAAGCTCACGACCCCTGGGGAGGACAAGATGTGCATGTGTGTGTGCGCGTGTGTGCAGGGTGCAGGTGTGCGTGTGTGTTGGGGGGGGGTGCGGGTGGACCTGTGTGCATGTGTGCAGGGAACATGTGTGCTCTGTGTAGGGTGCAAACCCCCCTGTGGCACCGGGGCAGGAACAGTGGCAGGAGGGGCATGTCCTTGCTGATGGTGGTTGGGGCTGCAGGCACGTGGTGGCCTGGAGAGCAAAAGGATTTTTCCCCACTTGGTCCTTCTTGTACCAAGCACCCTCACGTGACCTGGGCCAAAGGCCAGCCCTGCTGGCCCTGAGAGACCCCTGGTCTAGGAAGCCCCTGTGGCTGTATGGGACAGGAAGTGAGTGGCAGCCACCACCCACCTGTCAGGGGAGGCTCCTTGGTGCTAGACGGGTCTCAGAGGAGCTTCCAGACCAAGAAAGACCAGGAAGAAAGGCTTGGTGACCTCACTCCAACAAAGCCCTCAGTGAAACCCTTGGGCTACACAGCCAGACCCTGTGTCTGTTGGAAACAGGGTCCCCGACAACAGAGCCCTGGTGGTGCCTCAGTGAAGTGCTCTGCTGAGAGGTCAGAGGTTACCCCCCCACACACCTGACCCCAACCTCCACACGGAGGGCCTTGTGCTTGCCCTTCACGCCCCTCACGCACAGGGTCTGGGGCTGCCCAAGTGGCCAGGGCCCACCATGTAGGCCGTCCTGTGGGCTCAGGGGCGGAGGGGCAAGACGGGCCACAGCAGATGCCAGCAGGCACTGGTTCGCATGGCTTCAGGCTGGCCCTCCTCTCAAATAGACAAGCCCGCTCAGCCGGCTAGGCATGGGATGGGGTGTGGCGGAATGGGGACACGACACCCATGGGGACCAGGTGGGGTGTGATGAGAGGACATGGGAGCAGAGCTGAGCTGGGCTCTCTGGGCATCAGGGTCTGGGGGGCCCTCAGCCCGTGGGACTCCCAGGCGGTGGGCGGACACAGGTCCCCAATGAGACCGGCCCGGCCACCCCACCAGGGTGCTCAGGAAGGCGAGCCCCGGATCAGTTCCAGCTGAAGGTGTCCTCCAGCGGCGGCAGCTGACATTCCGACCCGGTGTCTCCTGACCCCTCGTTAAGAAGCTGATGCTTTATGCTTACAGGGAACCTGATGGGGTGCGGACACGGGCTGCTGCTGAGGCTGGGTGCCAGGAGGCAGACCCACAGCACCCCATGCACAGCTCCACACAACCACCACATACCGCCCAGTCAGGCCCCATTGCTACAGACAGTGTCCATCCACCTCCATGAGGGCCTTCTTCGCCTTCGCTGCCCCTCTGCTTCCATCCACCTGGCTGCCAGTCCCCGAGAAGGGGGGCTGTGTGATGAGTGCCACCACCCCCCGAACCCCAAGTCAGAACTGACCCCATGTGAACCTTCATGTGCATCCACACAAAAGGACTTCAGAGGTGTGGAGACCCCTGAAATCCCTGTCCCTGTCTCCCCATCCCTCCTGTCTGTCCCCCCCAGCCCGGGGCCCTGTGGCAACAGGCCCACACACGAGCTCCGGGGTCTCCTCCAGGAGGTTGGGACAATGTTAGGGGAAGGCGCTGTGGGCCTGCTCCCAGAACCAAGTCTCAGTGGCAGAGCTGCCCAGCCATGGCCGAGCAGGGCAGGGCCCTGTCTCGCTTGCCTCCCCCTCCTCCCCCCCGCCCTGCCCGAGAGGGCAGCAGTGGGGGGCTGGGGTCACAGCGACCCGTTGACCAGCCTGGCACCGTCAGCAGCCGTGGGCCCAGCTCCTGCTACTTAGACACAAAGGCTCCCTCCGCAGCTGGCGCTGGAGCAGGGTGACAGCGAAGGAAGCTCTGATGTCAACGACACCAGCCGGGGCCTTTAAATATTTCTTAAGAAACAAATCCAAACAAAACAGAAACAAACAAACCCAGGCAGGATGTTGGCGCCAGCCGAGGCTCCACCCCAGCAACAGCGACGCGAGGCTGTGGACACCAGGCCTGGGGTGCTCGCCCACCGAGCAGAGGGCAGAGGGGGTGGCCTGGTGATCACAGGCAGTGGGGG